CTGCTTCCTGCCATGCAAGATGGCCAAGGTTAAATGCAGCATTTGGTTCCCTAAGCTTCTGTAATGTGTAGGTGTGTGAAAACCGTCTGAGAGCAGCGCTTACAGCAGTGACTCTCTGTGGATAAAAACTTGACTTTAATTTGGACTCTCTGGCTAAGATAAAATCTGCTCCTGCTATCATTAAGCCACTTATGTCTGTCCCCCACTCCCTTTCCACTTTGCCACCCAGCTGAGTAGGGAGAAATTCATCTGACCTTGAAGAATGCTCAGTGAATCTTTAAGACTACCATGTTTTCAATAGCCAATAAAATGCCAGAGCCTTACCCACATTTAGATCATAATGCATGGGCCTGGAAAAGACCTGAGAAGTCAACAGTTCACCAATAACCAATACGAACCCCAGAGCTACAGTGACTAGTCCCCACCTGTGAGTTAGCTGCTGGCAGCGCCAGAACTAGAAAGGAGGTACAACCTTCCGGGATGTTTTCTTGCCAGGACACAATAGCTGTCCTCAACCAAGCTCATTCCATCTCCAGACCACTGAGGGGGGAAAATGCACACTGTAGGGCTCTTGCAAAAACACGTGGGATGTCTCCAGTGAAAAGGAAAAAAGAGACACTCAAAGAATATTTTCCAAAATAAGTTACTTTGAAAGTGACAAAAGATAGCATTTGCTTTATCATTCTTATGCTTAAGGAATCTTTATCAAGATCAAAGTTACATTCTCAAACCAGAATTAGTAGTTGCTTTTTCTAACCAGGAATGATTAGATCTTGTCTTTTCCCTGCAAAAGTTTGCTTCCATATACTTCTGATTTATTTCTTTCTAAAACCATTTTAGATTTCTAGTCTTAGATTTTGGCACAGTCTGGCTGATGAGCTAAAATAAAATTAAGGTGTGTGGACAGATGTCAATCCTGCATCCAAGGGCTAACTTGTTTGTCCCACATATTCTTTTCTTAAATTTAATTTTGGATGTTATTCCAAAATTCCTGCCTTTTACACTGCCTTGCTCCTGGACGCATTGTACCTGTATTTTATGTTTGGAACATTTCTCATGCCTCCTGGGAAAGAAAGAAGTAGTGAGTGGCCAGGTCTTGAGTCCCAGTAGAGAGACCAATGACAGACGTGAAGGGTCCAGCTGCTGCTATCCACTCTAATGTCTGACCTCCCATAGCTGTGAGTGATCAAAATTAATGAACAAAGTTGTTCATCTATCCGGGGCTTGTCTGAAGGGATAATACTTTCGACTCAAATCTGTCTTAAAACAACAAGTTGGTTTTGTAATCCATTTCATGGGATTGAGTAAAATCGTGAAATAAAATTATACTGCAATTTTACAGAAAAACCTGATGAGAGCTATTTGGAGAATTTTTGTCTAGAGTGTTACTACCCGCCTGCACTATTAACTTTTGTTTTTCATCTTGAGAAATGACCTTACCAAAATAAACTTTCACAACCTTCTTTCATTTTTTTTCCTGAAGACATGACAGTATCGGTATAGTTTTAGAAATAATAGTTATCTTTCAAAAATTTTTAAAGCAGAAAAGAAAACCTTCCAACTAGCTTTCCCTAATAATCTATACTGCATAGCTCTAAATGAATATCTCTCAAATGGATTTTGAATAATGTAAAAAGATAAATCCCACATGAAAATAAAGAATTGAAGAATGAAATTGAAGCTGTCATATATGAATTTAGTTGATCTTTATTCCCTTAATAATTTTCAAACAGAAGCACTTCATTCTAGTTCATAAAGATCATTACCTTTGGGAATTAAATATCTTTGCAGTTCCTTTTAAATAGTTTTCTTTTCAAAAAGTTCAAGCATTGCATGTTCTACAAACTCAAAAACCCTGCAGCTTGTGCTGAAAAAAATTTAAACCATGAAATTTGCCATTTTCTTTGCTATGTAATAAATGGAAAAAAGTCCTTTTATTCCTACTGACAGAGACCTATTCAAAATCAGTTCTACATCTACTCAGTAATGTTTTTAAAATCTGTATGAAGTTATTCCTTCGGTGGTCATCCATTAATTAGATCTACAGAAGAAATTATCTATTGTATAAATAGACTCTAAATATATTTATTAAGTTCATAATTGAAACCTCAACAATGAAGAATTAGAACATTCTTTCAGAGTTATAAAGAAAGGAACATGGTTCCAAGTCTTTATTTGTTGCACAAATAAAATAAAAAGCCCTTTATTTCCATGGGAAGTTGTTAAGATAACTTTTTTAGAACTTTTTTGTTTATTTGTTTTATGATGCAGGGTCTTGTTATATAATTCAGGCTGGCCTGAACTCACTATGTAGCCCAGGCTGGCCTTAAATTTTCAGCAATTCTCCTGCCTCAGCCTCCTGAGTGCTAGGGTTATAGGTGTGCACCATCATGCCTGGCCAATTTAGAACATTTAGGAGAATTTATTTCTATGAAACAAAGTGGTCACTTCGTCTAAAGTCCTACCAACAGTCGTTCAAATGGGCTTGTCTACACGACAGTCTCACTGCCTGGTAGCTATTTAAAGATGCTGACAGTTTTCAGGGAAGGCTGATGTCCACAGAGCCCCCAAGACTATTTTTACTCACTGGGAAAGAATGCTAGATTGTAGACCTCACTCAAGCATAGATGTAAGTACTGTACTTCATCGCCTAGAGCTGGGCAACTGTTTTTCTTTTGATAATTTTGCCTATTTTGGTGTCTGGGTAAGGAGTGCTTAATTGTGTGGTACATGGGGACATCTAATTGACCTGTTGTGAAAAAGCATTAAACTCATTTTTCAGACTAATACAGTAGAATTCTAGATGCTGAAAACATTAGGGTTGTTCTAATTATGCATTTTGAAAGTTTGATTACCCCTACTGTCTCCTAAGATGTTATGGTTTAGTTCTAAAAAGTCTCCCAAAAGTCTCATGTGTTTGGAAGGCGATGGGATCATGGGATGCTACCCTCGTCAATGAATTGATAAGTTCATGGATGAGTGTGCTGTTAGGAGGTTGGGCCTGGCTGGAGGTGGTAACTGAGGGTGTGGTCTGGCAGGGGGTGTACTTACCCCCTGCTCCTCCCTTCTGTCTCTGCTTTCTGGCTGCCATAGGGTGAGCAGCTTTCCTCTCACGTGTCCTACCACCATACCCTTCTTGCCTTGGAAGCCAGCCAAGTGTGGACTGAATCCGCTAAAACCATGAGCCAAAATAAACCTTTCCTCCTTTAAGCTTCAGATATTGAGTATTTTGTCCCAGCAAAGGAAAAGTGACTAACACAGATGTCAGTGTCCATTAAAGACTATTTTTTAAAAATGTATTTGGTTGTCTCACCCTTATAATATTTATAGAAATACATCTTCAAACCTGACTCAGGAAAATTTTTATATTGAAAGTTACCCCACCCATGTAACCAGGAAAACGCAATCATCTCACCCAAATATTTTCATTCTCAGAAAAACTTTGGGCCACATTGAGAACCCAAATTCAGTGAGACAAAGCTACAGGCAACAGATAAAGTCAGACTTGAAATACTATGTTCTTAATCCACCTGCCTTCTGTCAGTGCACCAGTCTGTCTTGATTTTATGTACTTTCTGCATAGCATCTATGGATGCCACTGTTACTGTCATCTTTGGGTTGGGGAGGGCTGGACCAACTGAGGTTTGTCACCGAGAAAGGGGGTTGTGTTGGCATTTGAGATGAGAGTGTAAACTCACTATTGGATCGTGTCACTGTATTATAAGTACAGGAAGTGATCTGAAATCTTACTAGGAGAAATGTCCTTATGTAAGTCTGGCTTTCCAGATCTGATGTGATAGCGTCCTTCATTATGTTTGGAAGCTAATTCATTTTAAAACTTTCTATGTTAAGAATGTCTTTTGAAATGTAAAAGTTACATAGCGGTAACTCAGTTCATGAATTTGATTTCTGCAATTCTTAATTTTTCCAATTCGTTGCAGCCAAAATCATGGAACAAATTCTGTGACCAGGATCATGAAAAAAATTAAGTTTGTGAAGTGAAGTACTACTGTATACTCCTGAATGCTCCTCTTCTTTCCTTCTTAATAATGGCAAGTTAAAGATGTGCTTTCATGATTAACCTGAAGCATCTATTGTTGATGCCCTCAGTCTCACGGTAATAAAGTAAGTACAGAGCAGCTGTATTATTTTATAAAGATGCATATTTACTGTGACTCTGGGTGTGAATTTAGAGTACTTGTTAGTCGATGGAGTAATGGTTGGAATCTGGGACGCAAGACTGGGGCTAAATTTCTTTGCCCTTCTAACCCCAGAGAGTCTTTAGAAAAATAAAAACAAAAGAGCAGAAAGTACTTAAGGTAAGACACTGCTGTATTCATAATATAGAGAAATAACCACCGTGCCTCATGGACAGCAGATGCAGCCCTCCACGGGGCTACAAAACTGTGCTAGTAATAATTTTAATTGGATGCTATCTTTGCTGCCTTCAAAAAGTATCATAAAGTGGAATTATTACAGGCTACAAGTGCACTTACAGTGCTGGCCTCTCGCAGAGGAAGGAGATAACATTTATTCTTCCGAGGGCAACATCAAGGGCCTTCTATTTGTTTCGTTTACATGCATTCCCCAGCCACCTGCTTTCTGCTTCCCCTTCCCTGGGTCTAAGAGATCTATTTTATTTTATTTTATTTTTTATTTTTTATTTTTTGTACATGCACACAACATACTTTAATAATTTCCCCCATCACCTCCCTCACCAGATCCCCCCGTTTCACATGCTTGTGGGGGGAGGGCTTTCAATGTATCTAACATATTTTGATCAATTACTCCCCCTTACACTCACTCTCTTCCCCTTTCCCCCTTCCTCTGGTTTAATAATAGTCTCCCTTCTGCCTTTCTTTGGTCATCTCTTTTAAATTCTATTTGTTAGGGAGAACACAGGATCTTCATCTCTCTGGGTCTGCTTATTTTGCTGCACTTTTGGGGCCGGCACAAGATCCCACCATAAGGTCTTCTGGTGGGTCAGCGAGCACACCTACCTGCAGAGGGGTGGGAGGCGTGAGCGGAGATGGAAGGCCATGGCCTGGAGACTGGCTGGGTTTCTGAGGGGGGCTGGAGCTCTGTTGGGTTGGCGATGACTGGCTCTGGTTCTGGGGGTGAGAGTGGGGCTGGTGCTGCTGCTGAGGCTGCGGGGCCTGTAGCAGCTGGGGTGCAGGAGCTGCTGAAGGCTGGGAGGTGGGTAGTGGTTGGGGGGCCTGTGGGGTGGGCTGGGACTGCTGGGGCTGCTGGTTGGTCGGTGGTGCAGGGGGCGGCTGCTGTTGCTGCTGCTGTTGCTGTTGCTGCTGCTGCTGCTGATGTTGCTGCTGCTGTTGCTGCTGGAGTTGTTGGAGCTGCTGCAGCTGTTGCAGTTGGGAGTTCAGGGATGAGGTAGCTGCAAGGAAACAAAGGGACCTTAGCATGAGACTAGAGTCTCTACTCCTGATGTACTTTAGTATTAATAGGGTTTAACAACAGCTAAACCTTGGAAATGTCCTAGATCCCTATCAACAGATAAATGATGAATGCATAAAGAAAATGTGGCATATATACAAGGGAGTACTACTCAGTCATAAAGAAGGATACATTTGAGTTATTTGTAGAAAAATAGATGGATCTTGGGACTATGATGTAATATGAGATAAATCAGGTGCAGAGGGTTAAATATCATGTGGTTTCTCTTACATGAGAAACCCAAAATCATGAGTAATTTTAAGAGGAAATAGAGGTGAGATGGTAAGAGATAAGGTGCTAGACTTTTTGGAGGTGGAAAGGGGATCAGGGAAAAAGGGAAAAGGGAGAGTTAAGGGGAACAAGAAGAGTAAAAACGATCAAGATGCAGTATGTGTATGCACCGGTTCTCCAAAATCAACGTATTATGTATCACAAACATACAATAAAAAAGTAAACTTAAAAAGAGGAATGTGAGACTCCGGGAGAAATAAAATCACTTCTTCGGAAATTTTTACAACTTAGGTCCAAAGACTAAGACATCAGACATTCCTCTTAAACATAGTATTACTTTAAAAGCGTTGCTTTTAAAGCAGGTGCACAAAAAAATGGAGATTATTCTTCAAGTACTTTCTCCTTCTCTTCCTTCCAATACTGTTTGTGAAATACACTCATGCTTTCAAGGTTTGATTTAGACTTTCAAAGTTCAGCCAGTTTAATTCTTTTGGTAAATGCTTGACTGGAGTTTAGAACAGAACACTAAATTGTTTGTAATCTCCTTTCCATCCATCATCAATACCATTAATGGTATCATTTTCACCTGCTACTTCAGACCTCCACCAATTTGCTTAGACATCTTGGTTTCAAGTTTCTACAGTGTTATTTTTTAAATTTAAAGATAGAACATGCTTCTCAGTTTTGCAGAGTCAAAACTCTGCATTTGAGTTTTGATTTTTTTATTTTATTTCTATATTTTTGCCTATTGATCAAAGAGACAAAGGACCCAGACCAGAAGGAGTATAGTAAGTGGCTGTGAAATGTATGGTGTGATATTTAGATACATTAGCACCTCAAGGACAAATAAGGAGCTAGGAGAGTGAAATCATCTTTCAAGATTTTTCTGTTATGTGGAAGGTAAGAGTTGGTGGGGGGCAAAGCCATCTTAGTACTGAGCACACAAGATTTGTTCTTCTCTCTCCATCAAGCATGGAGGGATGTCTGCAGCAGGAAGCCAAAGTGTTGTTTAGAGCAATTACTTCTGAAAACCAAGTTCATGGCCTTCTTCACATAAACCTCAGTCTACAAGCTTTCCAACAAGCTTATGGATAAATAATTACAAGGATCAATCTTGAACCTATAGGCTGTGGCTGCAAAGTTTTCCTGCTCTTCTCCTACCTAGAATTAGTCAAAATTTCCAAAGGCAGTAATTCTCAGTTGCAACATTAAGCTAGACCTTGTTTTTAGAAGTACTAATTTAAAAAAAATGTAAAATGTAAAAATGATATGATATGCTACACCTTCCTTGACACAACAAACATATTATTGAAAAATACATGGAATCATATATAGACAGTATCTCAGAATTTTCTTCATAGAAAATCTAACTGGCAATTACTTTTTTTATTATTTTAAAGAGTAAAAGCAGGATAATAGTAATAGGGGGGCTTACCAAATTACAGACAAAGTGGTAGGAAATTATCAATAGTTGTTGTTTTACATATTGTTATCTATAAGATAGTTTCTCAGGAAAACAAATAGACAAATAATAGTGAGTTACAGACAAAAGTGGTAGGAGATTATCAATGGTTGTTGTACTATACTTTGATATCTTCAAAGTGGTTTCTAAAGAAAATAAATAGAGCTATACATGAGTGACCAATTGAATATTCATTGACTATTCTCAACGGTTGTTGTAGGAAACACATAGTAATAAACATACATCCATTTGGCAATTACTTTTATAAAGTTAAGAATAGTTTGTGAAATTTATCAAATGCCAGATAATCTATAGGATTTAAAAAGGTGACACTGCCTTTGAGGACCTTCGAGTTTGTTTGCAAAAATAAGATTAATTCATAAGAAATAATCTGGTATACAGGTAGCTATTAGAGTCCTACTAAAGGTAAGTGCAGGTTAATGGACAAGACAGTCACAGGGGGGCACTGACCAAAAAAGCAAGGGGAAGCAAGAGAGGGGGTGACTTCTGTGGGCTTCAGGGGCCAGGCAGCAACATGGTGACCATGGCATGTAGGAGAAGATTCAGGAGATGGAAGTGCAGGAAGAGAGGATGTCCCCAAGCTGGAGAGACACCCAGAAAATAGTATGGCTTGGGTGACTCCCCTAAGGGCAATGCTGAGAATGGGACTCTAGCAAGTGAAAGTGTAGGCAACTTTAAATGACTTAAACCACACAGAAGGTAGAGGACCTACATAGTAAGACCAGTGGGAAGATAGACACTCTCAATCAACATTTCTGTTGTTGTTGGTTTGTGTTTTTTTTGAGACAGAGTCTTGCTATGTAGCCCAGGCTAGCCTCAAACTCACAGCCATCTTCCTGCCTCAGCCTTCGAAGTACTGGTATAGGTATGAGCCACCACATCCAGCTTCAATTAGTTTTTGGTGTAAGGCAGATTTCAAGTATCTACATCAGGTTTGTTTCAAGGACGAGCTGGTGAAATGATGGCTTGACTATCCCCAGGGTGCAAGTGCCAACTGTGATCTCTAATAGCTTGTCTCAGATGAGTCAGCTGGATAGCAAGTCTCCAGATTAACAGACTAGAAACTGCCCAGTTTATCCTCTCCTTTATCAGAACTTTAAAAGGAAAATGTAGTTTGCCATCTCTCCCTTCTTTCTCCTATTGTACAAAAGTACATTTTATTAAACATTAGGAAGTCACACTCAGTTCTGACCTCCTAAGATTCCCTACAATCTTCAGTATCCTAACTGGAGTTACAGACTTTGGGAACCTGACTGCCATAGTCTTCTGCCTGACTCAAATTAAGCCTGTCCTGAGTTCGTTCAAGTGGGAGCACTGATGCTGGTGCTTGTTGTCATGGTTGATTTAAATACCATACTGTTTTATTTTGGTTAGAAAAGCATTTATCTAAATCAGCATTTAGAAATAGGAAGGACTGGGGAATATTGGCAGAGAGATATTGGCAGATGAATAGGTGCAACAGACCCTAACCTGCTAATGAGACAGGGTCCCACATGTGTCTCTGAATCTTTATGTCAGTGACGCTTGGATATTTCTTTCCTGTAACCGCAGCTTGATTGGGAAGGCATAAACCTAAACAAAAACCCCTGGAGTTATATAAACTAATTTGGCATCTGTAAGCAAAATATGATAGGAAAAATCATATGTTCATGTACGTAGTGGAAACAAAGAAGCGCATGGAGGAATGGAAAATAACGTAAGTCTGGTCTGAAAAATGCCAAAGCCACCTACCCAATAATATGAAAATGAAAGCAACAAAACAGTGAAAATATGGTGCCTCTAAATGGCTTGTCTTATAAAGCATAGTGAAAATGGACACAGTAGAATTGTTTTTAAATGATGAATAAAGTTAGGAAGGTTCAAGGACATATTTGAACTACAAAGAATGTGGATAAAATGATGCTTGTTGGGGTAAAACTCTGACCCAAGGCACAGAAGATTAAAGCATTTACTTTCTTGCCTGGTATTTAAGTTCTTTCATGATTGTTTCTTCTGTGTCTGGCTACTGTACAATCTGTAGGCCAATGTTAAATGTGATATTTAACTACAATAGCAACTGTGAAGGAAGGAGATGAACAGAAATACATCCTGAAAATTTGAAAACTTGCAATTCTGAAAAGGAAACACAAGCCAAAATTTCATCGAACTATGAATTTCCTGGAGAATAAAGAGCATTATGGGAAAGCTGGCAGCCTAAATCATCCCAGATAAATAATTTCATATGGCAAAGGGGTAGTCAAGAATCCTGCACTGAACCTTTTGAAAGTATATTTTATTTTCAGCACTCAAACTGTAATTAAGAAACAGTTTCTCATTTTAAATATTTGTTAAAGATTTCTTCCCACACTTAAATACAGACACACCATCAGAGATCTATCAGCTATGTTAGATGGTATTTATGTAAGATTCTTCCAAAGCTTCTATGGGCAGTAGTCCCAGGACCCCATGGATAGCAAAATACAGTCTTTTCTATAAAATGAGGTAGTATATGCACCAACTAGTGTTTCTAAATGACTTATAATACCTGATACAATGCAAATGCTGTTGAAGGGGTGGCTATACCATATACTTTTTAGGGAATAAAGACAAAGAAAAATAAAATGTGTGCATGTATTTAGTGCAGATAAAATAAAAAATGTTTTTGATCACCAGTTACTTGAATCTGTCGATGTGGAAAGCAATTCCATGAAAGATTCCAGAGAAAAGTGTCTCTTATGCTTACCAAGCAAAGGACAGGAAGCAAAATGGTCCTCAGATACTAAGGGAAGTATGATCATTAGCAACACCCTTACCCATTTTAGCCAATAGTATTTTGTGCTATGGCATTGTAAGATGCTAGTTAGGATCTCCATTTAGTATTTTATTGGCCTTTTTGGGTCAAGCCTATTTGGACAAAGTGGTGGACTGAGTTCAGGAGCCTGCTGGGCCTGGTGGGGGGGGGCACTCTTATTCACTGCTGATGTTTACATTTTCCTGGGTGTCTCTGGGAACTGGAGTAGCTTCCCAGAAAGGGATCCAGAGACTCACACTGGAGAGAAAGGAAGCAGGCTGGCTTACTTTTAAAGGAATCCTGCTCAGTGCATTCTGGTAATGATTCTCCAAATGCAACTCTAGCCCATCTTCCCCGTGCAAGTCTGGTTCCAGGCAAAGAAAGACCTCAAAGTCCAAGCAAAATAAATGGCTCTGAAAATGGAATGCTAAAGCAAAGGAAGCCAGACACCAGCGCC